ATATAGTAAAAATAAGTTAAAGAGCACTATTCCTTACAGTTCAGCCAAGCATTCCATTAAAGTTTTATTTTCAGGTTCTTTTTCCAAAACATCTTCAATAGGCTCAATAACACTTTGAATATTATAAATTGACGGTGGCCAACTCCTTATGGTTTCATACAAGGTCTGAAGAAGAGTTAGTTTGAAATAAGATTAAAGTTTAAACTTTATAATATACATTACCTGATGGTCATAATTCAAAAAGTATGCCAACACAATTTCATATACAGTATTACTGAGTTGTGGATCTTGAAATGGTATATGTGTTGCGATTTCCTAAAGAAAATTCAGTAAAATTATTTAAAATAAATTTAAATAATTTAAATAAAAAACATAATATTTATTTATCTTTTGTGCAGACCTTTAAATGCTTCAATTCAGAAAACGTAAAAATCCATTTTTCCCATAATTCTTTATTTTTTTTAAGAATTTTTTTACAATTTTCAGCAGCTTTTGTATAATCCTCTGTTAAGAAATATTATAATGCAAATCTTTCAATAAGGTAAACAAATTTCGGAGTTTAGCATAGTGTCTGAAATTTAATTACAGGGCTACAACTAATAAAAAAAAACTACTTGCGGATTATTTGAATCTAGTTGTGCATATGAAGATATCTATATGCAAAATTCACAAAATTCACAAAATTCATTTGCGTAACCACATATGCATTTCAGATTTTAGTTGCGGAAACTTATAAATCGTTTGCGGTCCGCAATCCAATTTCAGACACTGGTTTAGCAGCAAAAATTTCATACCTTGTTTAATTAGATATATTAAGTATTTCTCTCCAATTTTATCTAAGTCATAGACCTTACTGCCACCCCAAGCTAGAGCCTCCTGAAGCGATGCCAGAGCTTCTTCATATCTAAAACGATCCAAAAGCCAACCAACGTGATCATCTGAATCGCGTGGCTTCGCCAATACAAGATCTTTTGGACTAACAACATAAAACATGTCTTCTTCCGACGGAAAATAATCAAGCACGTAATCATTGGCTTGATAATGAGCATATCCATGAAGTGGTAATGCATCAATTGAAATCTCATCATTAGATTGATTCAAAATTCGAAGTTCAGGACATTTAGCTTGCTATATAATAAATTGTGTAGCTCAGATGAATTTATGCTTTAAAATTTTCGACCTTTTAAAGAGAACGAAATTATAATATTTACATGGCGTTTACGTTGTTCTGAGTCATCTAAATCCTCATTTGTTACGATGTCAATAAGGTAAGCTAATATTAATGTCATATTACCAAATGGAGCGAGACCACACACAATATAATCATTTGTATTTAATATCATGTTAACTTCAGCAAAGAGTGGCGGATGGCCTGATATATTTTGTTCCTAAAAAATGATATTGTTAGGTTTAACTAATATTTGTACAAAATGCAAAACGTGCTTACTTTAACAGTAGCTATTTGAATGTAATTGGCCCAGCCTATTAACAACTGAGTATCGGTACGCCAGCAAAGGTTGCAACGATATAAATCAGCTCGTTGGCTATTTTGAGGCCGTTTTATATAAGTAATTCGTTGTTGTGATTGGGTATCATACATTTTCACACCCTATGAAAGGTAGTTTTTTTTCTTAATACCATGATGAATGAACTATTAAATAAGGAATTTAATTTTGTACTTCG